CGGAGCTTCACGCTGGTTTTATATTGCTCTTGAAACCTGCCGTGCCAGTGAGTGTGGAGGTAAAATTACCTGGAAAATGTATTTTCAGCATCATTAATATATCTGTTTTCTAAAATAGCTATCCAGAGCTATTTTATTTACCTTGTGTCCGCTTTATGGAGTAAAGGAAAACAAATCTCATGCACAGGTATTTACCTTTAAAAATAATTTATATTTCTATAGCTTGTGAAAAGAATCAAGTCCACGGATAATTTTAATATGGTCTAAATAACACTACAATAATAACACTAAATTATTTCTATAATGAAATGTGAAATGTATTGCTATCATGTAATGTTTCTGTAGGACTTGGGCAGCTCCCTGTGGTACAGTTTGTAGAACAGCCCTGTGTAGAGAGCTGGAAACTCTCTCACAGTTATATCAATCTTCTCAAACCCTTCCCGGTATCCGTAAAGTAGGAGTTTAGCCACGTTGCTAGTGATGGGAGTAGTGTGTTTGGACCTAGCAAGCTCCTGGAGGTCCATCCATTCACACCTCAGGCACTCCTGCCGGCAGAAGCTGATGTTGAAGGAGGAGGGCTCCAGGCGACAGACGATGTACAGATCCGACTTCCCAAAGGCTCCGGGGTGTTGGTGTTGCTGTCTTATGCTTAGGATGGACTTGAACTCTGACTTAATGCCAGTCTCTTCGAACACCTCTCGAACTGCTGTGTCTCCTAGGTGGAAAGAGCAGTCCTTACAGTACGTAGAAGAATAGCTTAAGCCTTTTGATCATTGAAAATTTCTAACTCAAAGCATTCTCTGTTCTGCTTCCTAAGCTTTGCAGGGTGTAAGCCTGTTTGTTTCAACACGAGGATAAGCTGATTTTTTTGTCCCTGAACTAAATTAATTGCTACGTGCCTTTATTGTGTATATCCTACAAAATGATGAAAGTAAGAAACTTTTGATAATACTGTACAGGGTGTGGTTTTGAAACACACTCTGATGGCCGCTGGCTCTGCTGGTCTCTTAATCCAAGACAGCGCTGCACCCTCTTTTCAGTCCTTTGAGTCTCAGCCTGTGTCTCTCTCCTTGCTTCTGCCCAGTTCCAGGTTCAGACCATGTGCAGCGGAATAGCCGTCTGTCGGTCGGATCACTTGATCACATCACTTAGTTTCACTGCACTTAGCTTTACCCAGTTTGTTACACCTTGTGGCAATTGTTTGCAGAAAGTGAAAGTTGGCACTAAGTCCTTTTCAAAATGTATCTGCATACGCCCTAATACCAGTATAGCACGTAGCCTGTTCTTGCAGAAAACACGCTGCCTCCATTTTCCGTGCATCAACCAAAGTGATACAGATGTTAACCTTCCTCGTTACAAAAGCAGCCGTGAGTTCAAGGGTCTGGAGGGGCTGTGTACTGCGATCACGGCCAGAGAATCACCCATCTATCCAGCAGTCTCTTCCAAAAGAGAAGATTTTTCTCTTCAGTAGTAACTTAAAGTGAAGAGCCGAAAGGAGATTTTTTGATACTCCGCTTATATCCCCAAATTCTGCAGTTTCATTGTAGTCAAGTCAAATCCTACTTGCCTGGGTAACTACTGCTAGGTAGAATACTAGCTTTTTCCAAATCTATGTAAACTCATAGTTGTGTCTTGTTTGAGTAGTAAATACATATAGCTGTTTGCAATGTTACCTGCTTCAGTTCATTTCCAGTAAGAAATTAGATTTGCTTTCCTATGGAAGCTTACATCTTGACTTGTCAGGTGTGAACAAACTAGACATTTTTAGGGCTAGTTTAAAATATTGGGAATAATTTCAGGACATACAGTGGTGAGCAATATATCAAAATTATGTACCCAGCAGAGGCCAAACAATCATATGTTAATAGCCCTGATTCTGCACGTACTTCTGCCTTGGCTCAACTTCCATCTTGCAAAGAATGAGCTGTGTAAAGAAGAGATCCTTGTGGGACTGGAGACCCATGAATACATGATGCCTGCAGAACATTTCTGTTTGTAACTTTATTACAGAATTAATTAGTTAAAGGCCTGGTGCATATGGGGAAGAAGTACACGGGGGAAGATACTCATTTACCATTACTGACCCCTGGGGAGAGGCATTTTGTGTTGCCCAGAGAGGCCTCTGTGGTCTTCTGGTTTCCAAGAGCGGCTATGAAGCAGACTCCGTATGGCAAGTGGCTGTATTATTTGGCAAGGGGCCGACTTTACACAAAAGTGGTCAAAGAAGGTAAACCAGTGAGATCGTGAGGAATGCTGAGGCAGGCTAAGGTAAGAAAAATGAAATAATTGGGGATTATTTTTTGTAGGCTTGTTGGATATGCTGTCATATGATTTTGTTTAAGCTTTGAGCTTTGCTTTTAGATAAAGTGCCTTTTTCTGTTTCCCTTTTATTTAAATGTCCACATATATATAAATATATAATGAAAGTTAACCTAGAAGAAACACTAGGGCTTGAGTTTCAGAAACATTCAAGTACAAAAATGTGCGCACTTTGCATCATCCGCATTATTATGATGATGATGAAACTATTTAAATTACTTGTGCAAGTCAGTTTGTACCTATTAAAGTAAGCAGCTGTGTATTTTGTCACTTCATATAAACACAGGACCTTCAAGCATTGTAATTGTGATTTTTAATTGTAATTTGAAATTTAGTCCCTTGAGTGACTGTGACTTTGTAAGGTTTGATGTAAGGTTAAAACCAGCAAAATTAAGCTCTGTTATAATTTATGCTTCACTAATTTATATCTTCATGTAATATTAAGATGTGATGCAGAGAGTAGTTAACTTTTAATTATTATATAGTTCAGTAGTGGCAGGAGGGGAGCTGTCAGAGACTTGCTTCCTCTCAGGTGTTTCTCAGTACCTACAGCCAGGCTCCAGCCATCATCTCACCTGTTATCTTAGGAATGG